ATAAAAAGTGCGCCACACGCGCCCCAGATGCTATAACTTTTTAGCCTGGGAAAATTAAAAAAAAAAAAAAAAAAAAAATTTTTTTAATATTACTAGAAAATTTTAAAGTAATAAAAATTTAAAGCTTTTGCTTTAAAAATTTTACTATAAAATTTTTTTTTAAATTTTCCAAATTTTTATGTTTTCACTTTTAAAAAAAAATTTTGCTTCTAATACAAGTCTTAATTTTTATTAGTAAATTATCAAAGATATAATAATAAAAGTTGTTATTTCTTATATAAACTACAATATTGTATTAAGAACTATAGATTTAAAACTAATATTTAAAGAGTTCTTCAAGAATTTGTAAATAATTTTTTTAGTTAAAATTTTTTTTTAAATTTATTTGTTTTTAGTTTATAAGCAATCCAAACTTTTTTCTTATAATATAAAATTAAATAATACTATAATACAATTCTTATTTTTAAAAATATATTTTAAATATACTGATGATTTACAAACGACCTTTACTTTAGTTAGATCACACTATGCAAGAGCACATGCACGTTATTTTAAAAATAACGGATTCAGAAAATCGACTCATGGTGAAATAACGCGCGGGTGGCGTAATTTGGTAAAGGTACATAAATACTAATAAAGTCTGAAACAAAATCATTTTTAATTATATATTAGGTTTAAAGTTACATAATTTTTATAAATGTAAAAAATTTGATTAGTTGATTGAGCTACGTTCAACAACATAGTTATAGTCTTTTGCTGCAAATTATAAGTTTAACGGAACGAAGGTGGACAGCTGCTAATGCTAATTTTTTTTAAAAAAGTGTTTTCATTAGAATATCAAATTTTTACTAAGAAATTTATATAATGAATTTCAGTTTAGAAATTATACGTTAAATTTATTAGTATATAACGATAGTAAAAATTTAGTCAAGATTATTAAAGCAAACTTAGGAATAAATTCGTATTTTCTGGATCACATTGGACCGGGTAAACTTTTATAATATCTCCGAGATTTACTGTTCCCTTATCATCATTAAACATTCCATGAACTCCAAGTTCTCTTATTAGAACGTTTTTATGCCCATTTTCAAAAGCATTTAAAACGATTCCAGTTAATTCTGGTAATGTTCCCGCTTCTTTAAATCGATTAATTAAATTAAGTATCCAAAATTTCGAACTAAGCATTTGCGTTTTACCAATGTCTTTTTCCCGTGCTCTTACATGCAATGCCATTTTTTCCAACTCATCTTTCGAAAATGGAAGTGCATTATCAAGAAGTGCCGCTTTTATTTGCCAATGTGCTAATATATCACAATAACGACGTAATGGTGATGTAACCTTCGAATAACCTTTGTGAATTCCCATAGCCCAATGTGGTCCTGGGTCTGTTGTTAGTCGAGCTGTTGACATCAAAGGACGTACTTTTACCGTAGACGTTATGGGTAATGCTCCATTTCTCAAATCAATATTCTTCAATTCTTCATCAATTATTGGTGAATTAGGTGGATCTTGACGTCGATACAAAATGGGAATATTACGTTCTTGACAGAATTTTGATGCGACAATACCAGCCATGACCATTAGTTCTGCGACCATCGCACGAGCCGGAGAATGCATACTTTTATCAAGTCCAACTTGGATAATGGGCATTCCAGTGTGTATTATCGGTGCTTGAGGATCAGGATTAGATATTGGTAATGGAAAAGGAAATAGCTCAATTGATGGTTGTGGTAACATGAACATAAAAGATCCTAAATTTATACGACGTTTCATGTGTATCACTGCAAGTTTCTGTAAATCCAGTAGATCTTGTTTTTCTGATAATGAAAGTTCTCCACGTGTGTTTTTTGATATTGGTATTTCGCGAGGATGAAAATGACGTTGTTTTTGAAAAAATTCTATCTCTTCTTTGTCTCTTCCGATATTATCCCATGATAGAACTGTGTCCACATCATCATAATACAAAGTTTTAACACGTCGAACGATACCAGGTCGAACTTTATAATCCAAAAATGTACCGTCATTTCCAATGCGCATACTAAAAGTTAATACACAACTTCCATAATCTTTTGCGCCAACACCTAAACTAAATCTTTTTTCACTTGTTATGGATGGTAACATTGAGTAATTACGTTCAGGAAAATAGATGCTTTGAACCCTTGTACGAGCTATCTGAGACAACTTATGACCAGGTGGGATATAAGTTGACGGATCAGCAACATGAACATGTATCCACATTGAAGCTAAATCGGAATCAGTACCATTCAAACGCTCGATGGATACACCATCATCAATTTCGTGTGCTGTATAATCATCTATTGTGTACACTGGAAGCTCACCAAAATCATGTCTAATATTTTCGCAGATATCATATGGATAAAAATCCATAGGTCCAAGATTCGGAAGTGATTTTATAAGTAAAGGAGATTTTTTTGATGATTTTTTCTTCCGTTTATAAATGAATGGTTTGGTATTCATCAAGTTTTTGGCAAGTTTTAGAGAAATTTCCTGGTCATTATCAGATCTTTTTGATACACCATGACCATTTAACATTATCCTTGGATCATAAACGTTTAAATTTTCCCAAGGTGACCATACACCAATTTCTCTCAAGAATTTTGTTGCACAATTCTTGTCAAGGTCACACTCGTATAATTTCATGGGTTTAAGTATAGCAGCTATTGGTGTTTCAAAAAGACCATGACTTGTTTGTGAATTAAAGACATAGGATCTAATGAAATTAATAAATAATTTGTCTTGTTCCGTAAATTTTGGTAAAGTATCTACTTGAGATATGAAATATTCAGTTGAACTATTATTCGTATTTGAACGAATATAATTTACAATTTCCTGTGCTTTCGAATGAAACTCTGCGACAGAAGAATCGCGTAGACGAATCAATTCTAGCACTTTGGTTATCGCAGCTACATCAGATTTTGCCCGTAAAATTATTTGATTATGATTTCTCATAGCTGAAATATTTGGTATAAAGTATGCACTCTCTTTAAGTACGTACATAATCGTGGCAAGAAGCTGTGCAGGTTCAGGCTTATCTGTTTTAAATACATAACAAGTCATATCATGAATAGTAGAAGTGTTCGTTTGTTGTTCATCTGGAGAAGCAAAACGAGAGTAGACTTGTCGTAGTTCAAGAACTTTAGACTGAGAGAGAATCATAGCAGATTTTGTTAGATCACTTGCATACTTTCCATGCGCCTCTGAAATTAAAGAACCTTTTGAAAGTGAAGAAACATTTAATTTTTGAGCAAATGTACGTTCAGGGATGACAAATGCAACGTCATCGTCACGATATGGCAATTCAAAGCCTTTTCTCACAAATAAAAGGTTCTTCCCTAATGCAGTGGGATCTGAACGTAATTTTGTAGTGATTCCTGTAAAAAGCTTTCCATTCCTATTGTTTTGAGTATATTGTTTAAATAAATGAGATAAAAATGGATTTTATAATTAATATATTTACATACCTCTGTATCGCAACAAAATCACGAGTATACATATATTCAGTACGATGGTTTGGTCAGTACTGTATGGTAATAAATGTAATGCGTGCGTAGTCACATGAGCCTCGACCTCCTGATCTCAATTACTCTTTTCTATTCGCTATCATATTTTGACAAAAAATAAAAGTTGGTCTCTATGTTGATAATATAAAAGAAAATACGATAAACATTCGTTCTCGTTATAGTGAAATCCTCAGATTGAAAATAAATATTTATTACAACCTATATCGAAATAAACTATAAACAGCCAACTTTCTCCATAACAGACGCTGGTTTGGACGTAAGGAAAAGTTCTTTATATAAAAAATTATTATTTTTCTTAAGAACCATAACTCTTTATACCGAATTTAATATAAATTTAAAATTTTTATTACATTATTCCAGAGTTCATTATAGAGATGTTCATTATAAAGTTGGATCTATATCTAGTTTAATAATTCCGTAATTTAAATCGACGTTATTTAATCTGGAATATATTTTAGAATTCTACAATCTTTTTATTGCTTCATTTGAATTATTTTGTGTTAATTGGTTATGAATAAGGTCCATTTATATAAATCCATCTACACCGAAGCTTTCTATAACAACCTTTTTTATAATAAGCCCTAACACATAATGAACTGTAAAGTTTTAAATTATATATGTTGAGTTCGGAAAGTATATATTTTGTATATTCTCTGATTCGATTTCATTTGTATAATTTAATTCTCATTTGATCGTGATTATTATTAAGTATATAGTCAAATTTATTTTTAAAATATACTAATTTTGTTTCCTAGAAAGTAATTAATTAAGAAAGTCCTTTCAAAAAAAGCAATATTTAAAAAAAAGTGATTTATATAAACCAATTTTGAATTTTTCGGAGAATTGTAAGGTTGGAACATCGCCCTCAATTGTCCAGCATCACATATCAAGGTTAAAAAAAATATTTTTATCATTATTACACAATTTTTATGTAAAATATATTACTGTACAGTACAACATTTGATTGACCAAGTGGGATTATTTATTTAAAATTTAAAATTCACACCATGAATATCGGGTATTGAGTACTCAAACTATCACGTCCTGATTGGTCGAAATCGACGATCATATTATTTTTTTCAAACTTTGAGCGAAGATATCACACAAAATTCTTTTAGAAATTTTCATCGATTTAAGTAAGTACTTATCTAGAGATCCTCGTTTAAAGTTCAAAAAAAATTTAGGCAAACTTTGAGTGAGGATATCTCGACTTACCTACTGTAGAACGCAATGGAAAACACCCCTTGATTTGTATCCCCTTAATTATATTTTTTTTTTTACCGGTACTGTTCTTTAAACATTCATGAAATTTTACATCGTAAATACGTAGAGCTCTTACCCAGGTCGGGTTGACCGTACGGGTCAGCTTCTTGACGGGTCATGGATAACATAGATAAATTCATGGATATAATATAGATAAAGAGAGTAAAATCTTAATTAGTAAACAGAGAGTTTACCATTTCAGTCAAAAACCTTTTGCCAGAAACCACTTTTTTTTTCTCCTAGCGAAATTTCTTCTAGATGCCAAGGCCAAATTGTGTTAGAGGATATTGTGCCTTTTGCCTTTTTCCATGCCATTATATATGGTTTCCATTCTGTGGGCCAGGCCTTGGTTCTAATCGGGTGCATTGTTAAGGCTTGTAGTATTGTAATATTTCTTTTAGATTGTAATGTTTCTGATAATCTTTTCCGTTCTATTTTTGCCCATAGTGTGTTTTCTGAAAGAAGTTTGGTTAATACTGATAGCATTCTGGCTTCTAGCATATTTCCTATAATTGGAGCTTGGAGACCTCCTTGTTCGTATGAGAGTTGGAAAGTTGCGTATCTGGGAAGCATTCTTGAAGATCCTTTAACCCAGTGTGTTATTAGAGAGTTTATTTCTGACACCTGTTTTTTGTTCGGGGGGAGGATATAGGCTGTGTACCAAATCCGAGAAATTATTAAAGAGTTTGCGATTAGAATTCTTCCCTTAAAGGAGAGGTTTCTCGAAGCAAGGTTGTTTAGTGAGTTTTTGAGTTTTGTAATTGTGGACGGCCATAGGTCTTTTTTAGGTTGCCTATTTGGGTATATTTCATATCCCAGTAGTGTGAAAGCATCTTGTTCTTCAACGATTTTATAATTGTCTATGTCTGGAAGGTTTGCCCTTCTTGCTATTGTTGTTAGTGGGATTACTTTTGTTTTTTGCTTATTTATTCTTGCGTTTAAGGCTTTTTCGTACAAGTTGAATAAGTTTTGTATTTCTATCCAGTCTGATAGACTTCCTATACCTATGGTTAGATCATCAAGAGGGAATGCCCTGTATATTTTTGTCAATTGCTTGTAACATTGGTTCAAAAGCTAAAATATATAGTAAAGGGGAAAGAGGATCCCCTTGTCTGACTCCTCTTTCAACTCTAAATGGTTCTGAAAGTAGACCTGATTCAAAAATATGTGCCTCCTGATTGTTAAATAGGTTCTTGATTAATTTTCTAAATTTTAGATTAAAGTTCATTTTTTCAAGTACTAATTGTAAGAAATCATGGTTCACTCGATCAAATGCTTTTTGTTGGTCTACCAGCAGAAGCCAGTGTTGTTTGGTAGTGTCCTTCTGATCTCTCATTATGGTGAGAACATCAAGAGCAGCATCTGTGATTGATCGTTTGGTGACAAAACCTTGTTGGTGTGTTGGGATTATTGAGGCACAAATTCTATTTAGCCTGGTGGCAATGATCTTCATGAAGATTTTAGCATCGCAATTTACTAGTGAGATGGGTCTCCAATTATCTATATTATCTAGATTTGAAGCCTTCTTTGGGATAAGTGTTATTAGATTTTTGTGCCATGACTTGGGTAAAATGCCTGAGTTGAGAATTTGATTAAATATGATTTCTAGAGCTGGCACAATGTGTTTCTCTGTTTGTTTGTAAAACTCATATATAAGACTATCTATATCTGGTAATTTATTATTAGGAAGATTTCTGATAGTTTCTATTATTTCTTTTTTTGTAATTTCCTGTGATAAGGCCTCATTATCTTGTTGTAAGGTGGTTGAGAGAAAGTTTATTAGCATATTTGCTGCCTCAAAGCAATGGTTAGACCTTTTCCCCAAACTAAGAAGAAGACATGCAACTTACTCAACATACTCCTCAAGAAAACAAATTAAGTCCAAGAATGACAATGCTCTTGTTATTGATATCTTACAAATGCTAAGCTTCTTTAACGAAGATGCTGAAAATGATGTTGTAGCAATTAAACAATACCTTAAAAAAGACTCACGCTTCTAGTTAGAAATTATTTTTGCCAACCATGATCTTTTAAAAGAATATGCAGTGAAAAGAGTTAGAATCTTTAATAGGACATACACAGAGTACATCCCAACAAACGCTCATAGATCTTTCTTATCAGTCAAAGTCAGAAATATCCTATTAGAAGACAAAAACAAAGTATCAGACTTAATTCAAGAAGCCTTTGAAGATATAGGAAAAGTTGTCTTTATCAAACCTCTTTTGATCAAAGGAACTCTCTACTTAACAGATCAATGGATTGTTATATTTGAAACCACAGAGGATACCAACCTAGAAACTAAAATTCCTTGATTTACACATATAGGGGACAACAAGGTTACTACCGAGTGGAAATCTGCACCAAGAATATGCTTCTTTTGTGACCAAGAAGGACATATTAAAAAAGACTATAAACAATTCCAAGAGTTTCTGGCTCTTTGACTGAAAATACAAAGAACTATTAAGACCCAGAAACATGATACAAATTAAAAGCCCCAACTTGGCAAAAATCAAAGATTCTATACCCAAGCAACTAGTAGAAGTAATACTACAAGAAGAAATTTCACCAAGTTAACGGAAAATACATCTAAAAATCCAGAGATTAGAATCTCTTCACCAACAACAGAAAACTTAGCTGAAAACACAGAAGAGTTTAAAGCCAACACTAATCATGCTGAAGAAAAAGACACTGCAAAAGAAGCAAGATAAAAATAAAAAAAGCATCGACTTCAATTATACTCAAACAGCAGAAGTGGAAGCCTTATCAGACCAAGCTTCAAAACAGCTTTCAAGAGATAAACTCACTCTAAATAACCCAGTAGAAGCCTACAAAGGGCAAACAACAAAGACTCCACACAAAAATACAATAACTGAAATGGATGAAGAAGGCTTCACGACTGTAATGAATAAAAAGAAGCAAAAAAGATTTAACAACACTAAATCAAAACAAGAAAGCTCAAAACCATCTCTATACAAGAAAGTCAGAGGAGATGCTTTCTTGTCTTTACAATGAAACAACATCCTTTTCTTTATAAAAGTAAACAAAAAAGTTTATATAGGTACTCTGAATATAAAGAGACTAAACAATCAAGAAAAAATATTAACTTTATTAAAATTATACAAGCTAGATATAATTCTTTTACAAGAAACAAACCTGGACAACCAAAATACACAAAACTTTTTAAAACAATGGCCTTTTGATTCAGTATGGGCAAATAAAACAGCTATCTTAGCAGGCAAGAGAAATATAAAACTACAAGACATACATATCTCTTGCAGAAGAAGAATTATCTCATTAAATGTCTTATATAAAAACCTTCTCTTTCAAATTACAAATGTTTATGCGCCTCCAAATACCAAAGACAGGAATAACTTCTTTGAAAGATAGTCTTCTCACTTAGATAAGGATAAAATCAACATCATAGCAGAGGACTTCAACACTAACTTGGACCCAATAACAAACCGAATAAGTCAGGCTCTAGCTCAAAATGACTATACAAGAGTACAACTAAAAAGGTTAACAAACAACTTTATTGATTTAGTTACCCCAAAAGAAGAAAAACCATTCCTTACATTTTTTCAAAATACACGGAACAACCAAACAATAGAAACTCGACTAGATTATATATTTATTGACAAAAATCATGGGAATTTTATTGAAAAAACTAAAACTCTATTTGGCAACTCAGACAATCTACTAGTCAAATGCATCTTAAACCTGAATTATAAGACAAGAAAACAAACATCTTGTAGGTTTGACAAAAACTATTTCAAAAACAAATTAATTAAAAAAGAGATCACTGATAAGATCAAAACAATCAACTTAGCCACTGAATAGGATTGACACAAAGTATGCATCTAATCAATCATTAGAGCCTTCAGAAAACCCTTATCCTGACCATAAGTAATGCCTAATAAAAGTGTGACTATGACCCGAATCCATGCAAATACCAATACTGCTCTCCTACTAGCTAACACCGTCATCGTTATCGTTATCCATTGTTCTATATAGCACAATTGATGATCTTAACCTACAAATTCAAGAAGAACTTTTGCATTTAGCAGACAGATGACAAACATATTCAAAAGCAAGCTAGATTAAACAAGAAGAGAAATCAACTAAATACTTTTTTTCAAAATTCAAAGCCTGATCCAACTCTTTGGCTCTCAAAAACATTGCAATTCAAGAGGGTTCAGCACAATCTGGTGATAATTGAGTCTTACAATATATTAAAGAACAATATACAGAGATTTATAAAAAAGAGAACATAGACCTAGAGGCAGCAAATATGCTAACAAACTTTCTCCTGACC